CAAGAGTAATATAGTCGTAATGGCTTGGCGCTTTCAAGAAGGGATAGTTCCCTTCCCCCTTTCCCATATAAAGATGTGTTACTGTTCACCTAGAACACCACCATCACGACTATATTGCACTGGGAAGGGGTCAGGATAAGAATTTGGGGATGGGACGGGGGGAAGGAATGGTGCCCAACCACTTGGGCGGTCGGGGATTGAACGCCGACCTGCATGACGCGGGGAAATACAGAGAGAGTAATCACACTAACGTGATGTGTCAATGAGAAAATATTGTCGTGTCATGAGAAAATATGCGGTGGCCTAGTTGACTAGGGCGTGTGCCTGGGAACACCCAGCCCCATACGTTCGAGCTCTCATCACAGCTCTTACGGATTTTATCAGTGTTTAAAATGTTAGGAGCCCGGGGGACTTGACTCACGAAGCAGTTACGCAAGCACTTATGAACCTATACATCTTTTCTCGTTATTTGGCGGGTTTGTTTACAATTATGAAACAGTTAATGAGCTCCGAAGCACCAGGAGGCTGTTTATAACAATAACAACACTTGATTAGGGAGTTTTCATGCTTGTAAACTGTTTAATAAATGTAACCAAAGCCGTCAAAGATCGAGGAAAGATGTACACGTTCGTAAGTACTTGCGGAACTGCTTCGTGAATCCGGCCTCTGATCAGAGCCCCTAATTAATGGCCTTGGGGACGTTGATCCTCGGAATCCTCAAAAGATGATAAGGTAACTCTCACACATTGATACACTCACGTCAAAGACAATAATGTTGTTGAAATACTCGGCTGCAACAGTATGCAATTGGAAATAAAGAAAATACCCTGATGAGTTTATTACTTTGACAACTGCCAAATATAGCGATGCCTTTCCAAGCCATTCCAGTACGGAGGATGGCGCCTGTCATGCGCCTCTGAATTTACCGTTTGAAAAACCTTGATAGCAATGTCTCGCCCGTACGAGAAGCCTTAGATGTGTGACGTCACCAGCACATCAAGGGACGTGTCGGCGCTGCCTGACCTCGACGTGTCCTCGCGGGGGGTCGAACCTGGTTGATCAGTCCAGCAACCAGGAGGCCTGGTCGACGACCGGGCCGACCAGGCCTCGCTATGCTACTCTATGGACGCTATGCCCCGGAAGAACCTCAAGGTAACCTCAAGGAGCTCCCACAATAGGTGGCTGCCGGAGCTCTCCCTGCGACCCGGCGATTACCCGTTGACGATTTCGAGAGTTGTTCTACTGCCGCATGCTTTCCTGGTGACTTCCCGACCTGGTCGCCCTCGTAGCCTGAAGGTCCGGGTCTCTCCCGAGACCTCACACTGGCTGGTGCCGACACTTGTTTTCAGTTTGGATGCGATTCTGTTGAGAATACTGTTTCAGCAATAATAAATGACCGGACCAACCGGGCTGTGGTGGGTGTGTGTGTGGGCCTGCGGGCCGCTCCAAGCACCAGCCTGGGACCCACCAGCACCAGCCTGGGGGCCACCAGCACCAGCCTGGGGCCCACCAGCACCAGCCGGGGGCCACCAGCACCAGCCCGGGGGCCACCAGCACCAGCCCGGGGGCCACCAGCCTGGGGGCCACCAGCCTGGGGGCCACCAGCACCAGCCCGGGGGCCACCAGCACCAGCCTGGGGGCCACCAGCACCAGCCCGGGGGCCACCAGCACCAGCCCGGGGGCCACCAGCACCAGCCTGGGGGCCACCAGCCTGGGGGCCACCAGCACCAGCCCGGGGCCCACCAGCACCAGCCTGGGGGCCACCAGCACCAGCCCGGGGCCCACCAGCACCAGCCTGGGGGCCACCAGCCTGGGGGCCACCAGCACCAGCCCGGGGCCCACCAGCACCAGCCTGGGGGCCACCAGCCTGGGGGCCACCAGCACCAGCCCGGGGCCCACCAGCACCAGCCTGGGGGCCACCAGCACCAGCCCGGGGGCCACCAGCACCAGCCTGGGGGCCACCAGCCTGGGGGCCACCAGCACCAGCCCGGGGCCCACCAGCACCAGCCTGGGGGCCACCAGCACCAGCCTGGGGCCCACCAGCACCAGCCCGGGGGCCACCAGCCTGGCCAAGAGGGTCTGGGTAAAGTCGTTCATAATAGAAAGAGGTGAATTTTTCAGCGCAGGGAAATGTGGAGGATGGTGCAGTGGTGTGTACCGCAGGTGTACCCAATGGTGCAGTGGTGTGTACCGCAGGTGTACCCAATGGTGCAGTGGTGTGTACCGCAGGTGTACCTAATGGTGCAGTGGTGTGTACCGCAGGTGTACCCAATGGTGCAGTGGAGTGTACCGTAGGTGTACCCAATGGTGCAGTGGTGTGTACCGCAGGTGTACCCAATGGTGCTGTGGAGTGTACCGTAGGTGTACCCAATGGTGCAGTGGTGTGTACCGCAGGTGTACCCAATGGTGCAGTGGTGTGTACCGCAGGTGTACCCAATGGTGCAGTGGTGAGGTGTACCCAATGGTGCAGTGGTGTGTACCGCAGGTGTACCCAATGGTGCAGTGGTGTGTACCGCAGGTGTACCCAATGGTGCAGTGGTGTGTACCGTAGGTGTACCCAATGGTGCAGTGGTGTGTACCGCAGGTGTACCCAATGGTGCAGTGGTGTGTACCGTAGGTGTACCCAATGGTGCAGTGGTGTGTACCGCAGGTGTACCCAATGGTGCAGTGGTGTGTACCGTAGGTGTACCCAATGGTGCAGTGGTGTGTACCGCAGGTGTACCCAATGGTGCAGTGGTGTGTACCGCAGGTGTACCCAATGGTGCAGTGTGTACCGCAGGTGTACCCAATGGTGCAGTGGTGGTACCGCAGGTGTACCCAATGGTGCAGTGGTGTGTACCGTAGGTGTACCCAATGGTGCAGTGGTGTGTACCGCAGGTGTACCCAATGGTGCAGTGGTGTGTACCGTAGGTGTACCCAATGGTGCAGTGGTGTGTACCGCAGGTGTACCCAATGGTGCAGTGGTGTGTACCGTAGGTGTACCCAATGGTGCAGTGGTGTGTACCGCAGGTGTACCCAATGGTGCAGTGGTGTGTACCGCAGGTGTACCCAATGGTGTGTACCGCAGGTGTACCCAATGGTGCAGTGGTGTGTACCGCAGGTGTACCCAATGGTGCAGTGGTGTGTACCGTAGGTGTACCCAATGGTGCAGTGGTGTGTACCGTAGGTGTACCCAATGGTGCAGTGGTGTGTACCGTAGGTGTACCCAATGGTGCAGTGGTGTGTACCGTAGGTGTACCCAATGGTGCAGTGGTGTGTACCGTAGGTGTACCCAATGGTGCAGTGGTGTGTACCGTAGGTGTACCCAATGGTGCAGTGGTGTGTACCGTAGGTGTACCCAATGGCGCAGTGGTGTGTACCGTAGGTGTACCCAATGGTGCAGTGGTGTGTACCGTAGGTGTACCCAATGGTGCAGTGGTGTGTACCGTAGGTGTACCCAATGGTGCAGTGGTGTGTACCGCAGGTGTACCCAATGGTGCGTAGGTGTAGCGTACCTTTATAGTAACGTAGGAAGGTGTACCGCAGGTGAAATGAGGATATGGAGTTCTTAAGGAAGGTACAAGAGTGAGGGAGAAGGTGATGGAGTGAGAGGATGGGAGTAACAGCTGGCAAGTGTTGAGGTGCTGAGTGTTGCATCGGCAAGCCGGCTTGGACGGCTGGGAACGTTCAGTACGCGGGGCTGAGGTAACCACAGGTAAGGTAATGTCCTCCCTCTCCTTCCCCAACACCGCTCCCTCCCTCCCTCAACACCCCCAAGACCACCCCACAACCCCCACCCTCGCCGTTCTCCCGCCATAATCTCTACCAAGTGTGGCAGCATTAAGTGTTTTTCCCGCCTGGTCCACACTGACGGTGGCGCCGCCCCGTGAGAAGTTTGAGCCTCGCCGACCTTCAGTTTTGCCTCCATCATCATCAAGACCGCCACCAAGCGCCAGGCAATTCTCGACTTAAACTTGAAGCGTATACTAATATGAAGCACAGCTGGGATCATCCCGGACGTGGGTTCGAACCCTCATCACGGTCCCTTGTGGATTTGTACAGCCTCGTGTCTTATGGGAGGTTACCTTACCTTGCGGAGGTTCCGTGAGACAATGAAATACATCTCACAAGGATAGAGAAGCTCAGGCTAGTTCTACCCTCCTCTATTTAAGGTCCCTCACGGGGCTCATTGATCCACACAGTACACAACTATTAATCATATTAATAATGAGATAATGAGGATGGAAATCAACGTGTAAAAGTACTGGGCAAGACCTCCAGAGATCCTGTAGCTTTGGCGATAACACTAATGAGAGGCGAGGGAAGTAATGAATTAATCCTCTCGCTTCAAAAGGCGGACAGAAATGTGCAATGCGTGTTAGAGCAGGCGATAAGAGAGCACATACGAGATGAACAAATCCACAAGGGCCGTGACGAGGATTCGAACCTGCGTCCGGGAGCATCCCAGACACTGCCTTAATCGACTGAGCTACGACAGGGTTAAAAGAGTTGAAACCGAGATATGAGATCTCGTGTTCTAATGTTACTAAGCCATCAACACAGCCCGTCTTGTAGTCAAGAGTGTCTAGCAGCTGGAGACCCTCATCAAGACTGTCAAGCTGTACTCTCCCCCGCTATAGCAGCCACATGGTAAGGACTGACAGTTTCAATGCGAGCTTAACACACAGTCTATCCTTTCATCACCAAAGATCACATTCACTCAAAACAATCTACCGCTTGCGGGCTACTCATGCCCGTGCCACCTCTTGTGGTGGCTTAATCTTCATCAATCAATCAATAATATTACAACGTTATGTCATTCAAGACTCTATTACTTTTTAAGATCAAATAGACAACCGTTCAATGCCATCTTGGTCATCACTTGTACACCCACTGGTACACAGTTTACACCCACTACAATCACAGGTACACATTGTAATGGGTGTACTATTGTTAACTATGTCTTCAACTTTGCTTTGTGTAAACCATTTCTCCTTTGCCTTTCTTTTTTCAACATTTACCACAACATTGGGTTGTACCCTGCCATCATAAGTGGAGAGTTCCTTGTTCCGTCAGTCTCCATCACTGATGGAGACTCTTCCATCACTGATGGAGACTCTTCCATCACTGATGGAGACTCTTCCATCACTGATGGAGACTCTTCCATCACTGATGGAGACTCTTCCATCACTGATGGAGACTCTTCCATCACTGATGGAGACTCTTCCATCACTGATGGAGACTCTTCCATCACTGATGGAGACTCTTCCATCACTGATGGAGACTCTTCCATCACTGATGGAGACTCTTCCATCACTGATGGAGACACTTCCATCAGTGATGGAGACACTTCCATCAGTGATGGAGACTCTTCCATCAGTGATACTCCATCCTCGTCCCTACCTCCTCCTCCCTCAGTTTCACTCCCCCACTGTACTTCCCGGTTCCCTCCCCACTACACACCGTCTGTTTGCCATAGCTAACTTTTCTACAGCTGCAATCCTCGTGTCCAACATTGAGGTAGTCCAAGATCTGTGTACCAACCTCACACAGTTCATATCTGCTTGATGGGGTTCTGGGAGTTGTTCTACTCCACAAGCCACCTTGAGTATACCTTGAGTATACCTTGAGTATACCTCGAGTATACCTTGAGATGGTTTCAGGGCTTAGCGTTTTGTTTTTATTGTTTTGTACTCTGTATTATGTTTAAGGTTCTCATTTTTACCGTACCTGAGTACCTGGAATTTATCGCTGTTAAACATCATGTTATTTTCTGCTGCCCAGTTGAAAACTTTATTAATATCTGCTTGAAGATTTTCAATGTCTTCAGCAGAGGTTATTTTCATGCTGATTTTTATGTCATCTGCAAAGGATGATACGAAGTTGTGTCTTACATCAGATATAGACAAAAATACGAGAATGAGGAACAGCAGTGGAGCAAGGACTGTACCTTGAGGTACAGAGCTTTTAACTGCGATTGGACTTGATTTTATTTGATCAATCAACTCTTCGTGTTCTGTTCGACAGAGAATTGAGTATCCAGCGTCCTACTTTACCAGTTATTCCCATTGACCTCATTTTGTGTGCTATCACTCCATGGTCACATCTAATGCCTTTGCAAAGTCTGTGTATACGACATCTACATTTTGCTTTTCTTCTAAAGCTTCTGTGACTTTGTCATAGTGATAGAGTAACTGATAGACAGGATCTCCCCGCTGTAAATCTATATTGTCCCGGGTTGTGTGGTTCATTATTTTCATTAAATTTAGATAATTACGTTGGTTGCAATTTGAGGCCAGAAGAGCTACGCTCCTAAAGTCAGTGCAATATTCACCCGAGAAAAATTACCGCGGCATCCTACAAGTCCAATTACGGAGGAAACGGAATTCCTAATTGTGCTTTACATGTGTGATGAGGATGGGGGGAAGGGGGGCAGGGGGAAGGGGATGGAGGAGGGGAAGGGGATGGAGGAGGGGAAGGGGATGGAGGAGGGGAAGGGGATGGAGGAGGGGAAGGGGGGGAGAAGAAGGAGGGGGGGGGGAGGGAAACCATCCTAACAAAGGGGAGGGGAAACGAGGGCAGCAAAGGTAAGGGAAACCTTACCTTGCGGTAGTTTTTCAGTGATTCCACGGATCAGTGCGCCTAGTTGCTGGACTGATCAACCTGACTGTTGGACGCGGCTGCTCGCAGCCTGACGTATGAGTCACAGCCTGGTTGATCAGGTATCCTTTGGAGATGTTTATCCAGTTCTCTCTTGAACACTGTGAGGGGTCGGCCAGTTATGCCCCTTATGTGTAGTGGAAGCGTGTTGAACAGTCTCGGGCCTCTGATGTTGATAGAGTTCTCTCTCAGAGTACCTGTTGCACCTCTGCTCTTCAACGGGGGTATTCTGCACATCCTGCCATGTCTTCTGGTCTCATGTGGTGTTATTTCTGTGTGCAGGTTTGGGACCAGCCCCTCTACTATTTTCCACGTGTAAATTATTATGAATCTCTTCCGCCTGCGCTCAAGAGAATACAGATTTAGGCATTTTAGTCGGTCCCAATAGTGTAGATGTTTTACTGAGTGGATTGATGCCTGTGACACACACACACACACACACACACACACACACACACACACACACACACACACACACACACACACACACACACACACACACACACACACACACACACACTTCATTCACTCACTACTTTCATCCTCACTACCTAGAACTTCATTCAGAAACCTAAATGAGGAGGCTTTTAGGGCGCTTTACACTGCCTACGTGAGACCCGTCTTAGAGTATGCCGCCCCATCATGGAGCCCCCACCTGAAGAAACACAAAGAAACTGGAGAAGGTCCAGAGGTTTGCGACGAGGCTTGTCCCAGAGTTACGAGGGATGGGATATGAAGAGCGGCTGAAGGAACTGAACCTTACGACACTAGAGAAAAGAAGGGAGAGAGGAGATATGATATGGACATATAAAATACTCAGGGGAATTGACAAAGTGGAAATCGATGAAATGTTCACACGTAATAATAACAGAACGAGGGGACATGGGTGGAAACTGGAAACTCAGATGAGTCACAGAGATGTTAGGAAGTTTTCTTTTAGCGTGAGAGTAGTGGAAAAATGGAATGCACTTGGGGAACAGGTTGTGGAAGCAAATACTATTCATACTTTTAAAACTAGGTATGATAGGGAAATGGGACAGGAGTCATTGCTGTAAACAACCGATAGCTGGAAAGGCGGGATCCAAGAGTCAATGCTCGATCCTGCAAGCACAAATAGGTGAGTACAAATAGGTGAGTACACACACACACAGGAAACAGGAGGCCAGACACAGGATACAGAATGGGAGATGAAGTCCTTCATGAAACGGACAGAGAGAAAGATCTAGGAGTTGATATCACACCAAACCTGTCTCCTGAAGCCCACATAAAAAGAATAACGTCAGCGGCATATGCGAGGCTGGCTAACATCAGAACAGCCTTCAGGAATCTGTGCAAGGAATCATTCAGAACCTTGTATACCACATATGTAAGACCAATCCTGGAGTATGCAGCCCCAGCATGGAGCCCGTACCTTGTCAAGCACAAGACGAAGCCGGAAAAAGTTCAGAGGTATGCTACTAGACTAGTCCCAGAACTAAGAGGCATGAGTTACGAGGACAGGCTACGTGAAATGCACCTTACGACACCGGAATACAGAAGAGTAAGGGGTGACATGATCACTACCTACAAAATTCTCAAAGGAATTGACAGGGTAGATAAAGATAAACTGTTTAACACGGATGGACTGCGTATTAGGAGACACAGGTGGAAACTGAGTACCCAAATGAGCCACAGAGACGTTAGGATGAACTTTTTCAGTGTGAGAGTAGTTAACGGATGGAATGCATTAGGCAGTGATGTGGTGGAGGCTGACTCCATACACAGTTTTAAATGTAGATATGATAGAGCCCAGTAGGCTCAGGAACCTGTACACCTGTTTATTGACAGTTGAGAGGCGGGACTAAAGAGCCAGAGCTCAACCCCCGCAAGCACAACTAGGATAGTACACAGGTGATGCCTGGGCTACATAAAACTGTACTATCCATCTCCACACCAACAAACCAGGACGGAAACAAACAGAATAATAAAACACTGGTGTTTTCACACGCTTCAGGAAATTGATTGGAGGCCGACCGCCCGACCTGGGTGGCCCAATGTCCATTTAGTCCGCCCCAATTTTGCACTATGTTCCCGCTTGTGTGGCGTTGATCCCAGCATATGGCGTCCCTACACGCACTCCCTCCTTCTTCTTGTTTTAGATTCAGGTACTGGAAACAAAAGTTTCAAGTAGCACGGGCTATGGTGAGCCCGGTGTACTGGAACTGGAACATGGTTCTATCAGGACGGAGGGACGCTAAGCCATTACGACTATATAGCACTGGGGAAGGGGTCAGGGTAGGGATTTGGGATGAGACGGGGGAGGAGGGGGGTGGTAGGGATGGTGCCTAACCACTTGGATGGTCGGGGATTGAACCCCGACCTGCATGAAGGGAGACCGTCGCTCTACGGTCCAGCCCAAGTGGTTGGGCTGTTCTACGAAGCAGCTCATGACGACGCATTAGAGAGCACTGTGTGAGCCGCTAGTAATCTCTCCCTCTATATATATTTCTTTTCAAGGTGACCCTTGCTAAGCGGGGTTTGAAGATCTGCTCTCACTTCCCGTGTTCCGTCCCTGGTTACTTGGTGTCATGTTGCTTGATACCTGCTTGATGGGGTTCTGGGAGTTGTCCCCAAGCCCGACCCGAGGCCCAAGAGGCACGAGAGCCCAAGAGGCACGAGAGGAGACAGGTGTTGGTGCACGGGTGGACTGTTGACCTAAAGAGCCACCAGTGTGGTACATGACTGTGGAGGGCGGTGGTGATGGGAGAGACTCGGGCTATCAACCAGTCCTCCAACGTCGCCTTTTGACGTATAATGACCCTATGGCCAAACACTGATGCATCCCTGTACCTACGAAGTGTCCCGTTTTCTGTTGGTGGGTCCTTGGGTAGGTTAGGTTCCAACAGTTTAGTAGAATTGTTTAGTGACGTTGGGAACGCTCCGGAGGACGGCGGAGGTGTGGTCTTACATGTTCTTTCACGAAAGTGACAGACAGGAAGAAATTAACAAAAATTTATCTTGCAACATAAGGAGATTATCAGGGGCCTGACGGCTGAGTGGACAGCGCTCGGTGTTCGTAATCCTAAGGTTCCGGGGTTCGATCCCCGGCGGAGCGGAAACAAATCGGCAGTTTCTTTCACCCTGATGCACCTGTTCACCTAGCACTAAATAGATACCTGGGAGTTCACCCACAGTTAGACAGCTGCTACAGACTGCTTCCTGGGGGGGGGGTGTAACAAAAAGGAGGCCTGGTCGAGGACCGGGCCGCGGGGACGCTAAGCCCCGAAATCATCAAGACACTATATGAACCAATATTTACGTGACCTTTGGTTATATTCACAGTTTCTGCCAGACCCTCAACTAGCAAGTGTCACACTGGAGTTGATGGCGCTTTGTGCCACCAACAGCAGCAGCGACGGTCTCGCGTCATGCAGGTCGGCGTTCAATCCCCGACCGTCCAAGTGGTTGGGCTCCATTCCTTCCCTCCGTCCCATCCCAAATCCTCATCCTGACCCCTTCCCAGTGCTATATACTACTAATAGTTTAGTGCTTTCTCCTGACAGTTCCCTTTCCCAAGTCGAGGAGCCCTGTCCGGTGTCCCATGGCCCGGACAAGGCTCCACTACCCACAGTCCGGGCTCAATCCACAGCTCTATAGGTTATCTTGAGATCTTGAGTTTATCTTGAGATGATTTCGGGGCTTTTTTTAGTGTCCCCGCGGCCCGGTCCTCGACCAGGC